TTGCTGTGATAAAAAAATCAATCCATGCCCATGCTATGCAATAATGCCCATTAAAAGCAGTTGATAGTCATAACTGTATTAGTGTTTCATAAATGCACTTATAATGAATGATGAAGTAACTTATCTTTCTTTTCCAACACCCTCTATTAATCAAGAAGAGGGGGCAAATTTGGTCTGAGCACACAGTAGGAAGTCAATCTGTGCTGGAGCTGAGATGAAAAAGAAGGCAGATGGCTTTGTTTCTGTAGGAACTCCTGTGGCACTAGAAATTGGATGGGAACAGGAATCTATTGGAATGCTGATACTGTGAACTTTCTTCTTATGCTCAGCATGTGTAAGCATGTAAATAAATCTTCTATCACTGAAATCCCATCAATCTCCAATGATCTTCTTTCAATGGAAATTGAAACCTTGAGTATTAGTACTTCAGAATTCTTTCACTTTTCAGAAGGGGGGGGGAGTCTGTGTGTGTAGACATAGACATAGACATATCAATCAGACACTCATACACCAGTACTTAAAACTCAACGTGCAACATAAGGACATCTAGATATTTGGAGTAAATTGTTATCATGAAAGTAAAAACAAAAGATACAAAACTACTAGTTTTATCTAATGACAACTGAAGGAAGGAGATTTTTAAGGACTACACCTATATGGAGATTACATGAATATATGAAGACTGGGAACAATCAACCAGTGGAACAGCTTACCTCCCAAAGTTGTAGGTGCACCAACATTGGAGGTTTTCAAGATTGGAAAACCATTTGTCTGGTGTGATATAAGGTCTCCTACCATGGGCAGGGGTTGGACTAGAAGATCTCAAAGATCCCTTCCAGCCCTATGACTCTATGATTCTAAACAAACATGCATCCCTTGTCCAGATAAGATAAAGGTATAGTTGATAGATGCTTGGTTCAATATAATAATTGGTTCTGGATATGTTGAAGTCACTCATGAATCCAGTTTTGTTTCTTAGTGCTGCCTGTGTGACATGGAATGTCTTGCCAGTTGCAACTCCATCTGATGCAACCTGACCATTTTATCCAAGATTTGTTAACCTGTAGCTTCAAGTCAGTACTTTGGAAAAATATTGTAAATGGGGCATCATGCTAGGTGTTGACTGGAATAGGATTTTGAAATAGCTTCATCTGCTTTCCCATTGGTTCTATGTATAATTCATGATTTTTAAAGTCTTACTGCAATTTCAGAGCTGAGACTCCTCAACTTGCTTAATAATCAGAATAATCATATGCTTTTTTCAGAAGCTTGCTTTCCTTCCCACCGTAACAGATCAGATGCACCATAATGAAACCCTTTCCAACTGTGCCACTTCTTTTTCCAGAAGCTCAACTGATTCCAAGATTGGGATATAAAGGTAAATGCCTTGCGCCTTGTTTGCCACTGATCTTTAGAAAACATTTGGAGTCCTAGTGGCACGATGATTAAACTGCAGTGTTGCAGGCAAATTCTGCCCACAGTTGGCAGTTGGAGTTAAATCCTGATGGGGCTCAAGGTTGACTCAGCCTTCCATCCATCCAAGTTTGGTAAAATGAAGACCCAGATTGTTGGGGGCAATATGCAAAAAACTACTCAGAGGATGCTGCAAACAATATAGGGTGGTGTATAAGCCTAATGCTATAGTTATTGCTAATGCTATTTAGAAAAAAAAACTTTTTCTTTTTATTGTGGGGTATTAATTACCTTTCTTTAGGATTGTGAGAAATGCAAATTCTCACAATGCAGCTATTCCCCTCTGACACATTCTCTGTCACTTTATCAATAATTGTAAATCTAGATTTTCAGCCTGGAGCAAGGAAGGGAACTAAATATTGCTCTTGTTTCTAGTCAGATTAAAAAACTAATCTTATTTCATTTCCTGGCTTCTGTTATCTCTTGTCATGTCTTGGCTATGACTTATTTAATTTTTTTTTATTTGATTTACATAGCCACCAATCTCACATTAATGACTCTGGTCTGCTTACAACATTTAAAAACAGTACAACATCATATGAACATTTTGTGGTGATCCTAATTCAAGACCTGCATTCCCTGAAAAATAGTTATGTGTCTTCTCATAGTTGCATGAAGAAAATTATTAAAGATCTGGAGGTGATATATTATGAATCTGTTAATTTCTGCAATGACAAGCTCATTATCTGCCTCATCAAACAGCTAAATGAGTGTGAATAAGGGAAGGGAGTTGGGGAGTTCCTGTCATTGTTATGTGTATGCTCGGTTTTTTCAAGTATTTGCTACAGAGCTGCATTATCCCATTTATCAAGGTAACCTCTACTTCATGTGTACCGTGAAACATATGACTGAAAAGCACTATGTGGACATAACATTAAAAGTCAATGGCAGCACTCATACTATTCAAGAATTCACCGTTGTCTCTGTAAATTTTTAAATTAAGGTAATAGAAAACTTATTAGTAATATTTACTAGACAAGATTTAAAATGAGGAAATGCATTTATATTTAAACTGAATTTAATAGAAATACTTTTTTGTTACATCAAGAAACAAAGTATATTGATTATTTAAATAAAATAAGGTGAGATAAATGGGCATCCAATCCGGTAAATCCTAAGTTAGCAAGTCTTCCAGCCATTGTTTCATAGAAAGAAAGGCAGATCATGGAAGTGGATAATCACACATCTGTGCAGGTCAGGCAGCTGTGGACTAACTAGAAATCCAGCAATGATTTTCTCAGGCAAGGAAGCAATTTGTTAAGGGTTAGTTCTGGCTCCCTGCAGCTTCTTGAACTGTTACTACAATGTCCCATGCAGAGTTTGAGTTGTATTTTGGGCCAATGGCGAGCCATAGAAGCCTCAGATCACATTGGCCTGTGATCTAAATCACTGTAGATTTTATTCTGCCTGTGGAAACCATTCCAGATCCAAGTGAATGAACTGGATTATGCACTTTGGTTGTAAAAGTAGCCATATGTAGAATTTATACCTTATTTATATCTAGAGCCAGTTTGGTGTGGCGGCTGAGGCATCTGGCTAGAAACAAAAAGACTGTGAATTCTAGTCCCACCTTAGGCACAAAGTCAGCTGGGTGATCTTGTGCCAGTCACTCTCTCTTAGCCCTAGAAAGAAGGCAAAACCATTTTTGAAAAACCTTGCCAGGAAAACTGCAGGGACTTGTCCAGGCAGTCTCTGACAATCAGAGACCATTGAATAGAAGGAAAAAGATTTCAAAAAATATTCCACATTACTCACACTAATTATAACTGTATTCCAATACTGTCAGGTAAGAAGCCTGCCACTGTATAACTCAACAAAATTTTCAATTGACTTTTACTTAGGTGATTCTAAGATGCCCCAGTGAAGTTTTGTCTCCACAGATCACCATTCCAGAACTCTGCAGTGCTACAAAAGGTGAAAGCAACATTTCCCAATTGTAGGAGAATTTGATGTTTGCTTAAATAAGTGTCTAGGAAGGGATGCATTTGATGAAGGACTGGTCAGTTCTCAAACTACAGTGAATCAGCTGCTTATTGTTTGGACTTGTCATTGTCTTTTGAATGTGTAGCAATATCATAGGGACAAGGCCCTTTAGGACCAAATAGGATAGTACAAGGAACTAAATGGGGGGGGGGGAACGGTATAAGCAGACTTGGATCAGTCTCCGTCAAATAATGCTCAAAAAAAAAAAAAGATTACTGACAGCTTTGGGAGCACTGCATAAGTGATTCATGCAAGTGGCTGCTATGCTCAAAGGATACAGGCCTTATAACTATAAACAATGCTATGGCTTAAGATGCCGGGCTGTGTTAGATTTAACTAAAAATCAGGGTTAGAGTCTGACTAGGGAAGCCCTAGGATTTCTGATGTTTGAAGGGGTTGCTAAGAGAATGTCTAGATCGGTCTTTAGGGAAGGAATGCCAGTATTTTGTCTTAGGGCAAATGGCTAACGTGCTCCATGTCAGACCTGAAGTAGATCCCTCACAGCCTTTGTGATGGTCACAAATTTTGGAGGCTTGGAGTTCCTGCAATGTAGAGAGACGGGAAATTACCTTGATAGGGATATGCAGGCTCTGTTACTTAGACAAAAGGGACTGAAGTGGGTTTTTAAAGTCCAGAACTATGAGATAAATATTCACAAGTAGCTCTGGCAGAGGCCTCCCTAATTCACTGAACTATAAGAAGGAAGAGATAAAGCATAATCAGACTTGCAAGTTTCTGTTATTATAGTCAATCTCAATAAAAGTCATTTTAATTTCTGTGGAGTTAATTTCCTGATCAACTAGAGGGATTGACATTTGGAAAAGTTTTGGATAGCTGGTGGCCTGGAATGGAAGAGACAGCAATAGGACTTCTGAATTGGTGGGACCAGATTTTGACTGTGCTTTTATTCTGTAAGGAGATTTTTTTTTCTTTTAGCAACCCAGCACAGGTAATTCCTACATGCACATACACAAATATACAGAGATACATACAGGTATAAAATGTATTTGTACGCCATCTACTTTCTTGATCCTACACTCTTGAATCAGAATTGAAGAGGTATGACCAGTTCAGAACAAAGTGGTTGATTTCCAAAACACAATCAGCTGGATGATACCTGAACAGCATTAACTACGTGGCTATGCTCCTTCCAATAGACTGGTTTCACAAATAGCCAACTTTAGAGAAAGAAATCTGAGATCATGTAATACTAAGGTTAAACAAGGTCACTATCAACAACACTCTCAGTGCCAGACTGAAATGAAAGGAGGGCATACTCAAATTTCTGATGAGCAGTTCAGGTTCTGCATTGTTTTTACTGAAAATGATACTCATGTATTTAGCTTCACCATCTTTAGAATATAGACATAGATTTAATCCTATATAAAATCACCATAGCAGCAAATGATGTTTCTAGATATATATGCCATTGGTATGTCAATTATTTAAATAGAGCAATTCTCTTTAGTTTGGGAGTATGATAAGTCTAGTAAATATGGAAAGTTTTGAAGTTTAAAAAAAACACGTAAGAAGCAAATACAGACCTAAATTCACAAGAATGTATATCGAGGGAGCATGCATATTGGTCAAATAACTTTGTAGATCATTAGTAGCTTTATAGTCCATCTATCCAAATGTCTGTCTGGCTCCTCAAGATGCAAGATCCCTGCAGATTCCAGAAACAGTACACAGTGCAATTGGTAACATATCATATATACAGTAAGACATATACATACACAATAAGACAATAAGAAGCCATACTAATTATTAGTCACCAGTAGCCAATGTCCCTATAGTAGAATTATTCTGTCCTCTTGAGATTTCTTTGGAATTATAAGAGTGCTCCTCCAAGTCTAACAAAGGAATATGTGGGGGTTACATATTATAGTCAAATAAACCAATTCACATGAATGATGATGTTGCAGAAGACAAAGAGTAGATGTTATTCAAATAAATAATAAAACTGAACCCACAGTGACAATCGTAGAAATAATCTGCCACAGCACTTTTGGGAATATTCCTAAATATGGGCCTGCTTTTTAGAAGAAATGTGAACTTACTCAGAACAGGCAAAAGCCACACACATACACCCTTTTTTGGTTATGGGATCTATCTGTCAACAGCCTTGCTAGCAAATTCAGTATTGAAGAAACTCTATGGTCTTGAGGTGCTATAAGAGATAAACTTTATTGAATACACATCCAGTGATGAAGAAGCAAAATCAGCTCTAATTTTCCTGCACAATAATCTGGTTAGTTAACAATAGCTTTTCATAATCCCCACCCAACAAATGTTCACGTTGCCCAATCACATCTCTTTGGTTTGTTATGGGAACAATCCACTTCTCCATCAGACACCTGCTTTTGTGACCTTGGATCTCACAATCCATGGACGGCTTCCTGAACAATCCACTTCTCCATCAGACACCTGCTTTTGTGACCTTGGATCTCACAATCCATGGACCGCTTCCTGACACTCCTGTTTCTTTCCCAGGCTCTCCCTCCCCCCTGTTTCTATGGCAAGTTGAGTAGCGGCAGAGCATCTTAGCAATTCAACCTTGACACTATCCACTCACAGGACCAAATTCAACCACCTTTTATTTGCCATCACTCAGTCTATCATTGCACTTAAAGAGTGGTTCTGTATACAATAGATATTAAATTAGTACTGGGAACAAATTGATCCCTTGTAGGTTGTTGAAAAATAATTCTTCCAAAGCTGCCTGTTGTGACTACTCCTGGTGCTAGGAGGAACCAAGTCAAACATGTATTCTACAAGAGATGTTTGTGAACAGCCTTTCATAATTCCCCTCCAAATTTGAGAGAAAATAAATGGATGATTTCTCCAAATTTATCTAGAGAGAGAGAGGATAAATTCTCAGTATTTTCAAGGGCAAAATTCCCTATAGCAAAGCTATAGCACTGCACTGAAAAATTTTCATTGGAAGAATTCCTGCTTGATATCTTACCTTAAATAGTGAAACAGGAATCTAAAGAAACTTCAGACTGCTAGAAAGATATCGTGCAATTAAAACAGGAGATTAGATTCCTCATAAAAGTGAAAACGTCATATTTCACCCATAAGGATGCCTTCATTTTCTTCTTTGAAAGTTTCTAAAATACACTTTTTTCCACCATATTCTGTGTGAACTGCAGGAGAAAGTCCCTAGCCCACAGAAGCAATTCAGTAGGGTAGCACAATTGGAAACAAAAGTCATCAAAAGATCAAACAAAATAGTAAGACTGCATTCCTCTTGTCTCTCCTAATTAAGGTCATCCAGTAGGAGTCTGCTTCAATCCCAAAGTCAAACCTGAATCTGGACTGAAATGGATGTAAAATCAGTTTCCTACAATACTGCAGTGTCTTGAACTGTAGCATCTCTAATCACTTGAGTAGTCCTCAAAAATCTTCATAGGCTAGGGACCAACAGCTGTCTTGTCTATTAATACTTGTAGGGCATGTTACATCAGGATAGGCTGAGATTAAAGTAACCAAAACCGATCCCATAAAACCAGGCCAGATGGTGCTTTATCTGTATGTGTAGGAAATGTGGCATACATCAGAATGAAGGTATTTTTTTTTCTTCTTTGAAAGCACTCATTTGATTTCTTGCAGCCCAGAAACTAGGGCTAATAACCATGGACCCCATGAAATATGTCTGCTGGACACAGCAATAGGAACAGAACTTAGACTTACATACCACTTCACAGTGCTTTACAGCCCTCTCTAAATGGTTTACAGAGTCAGCGAATAGCCCCCAACAATCTGGGTCCTCATTTTACTGACCTTGGAAGGATGGAAGGCTGAGTCAACCTTGAGCCAGTGAGAATCGAACTGCCGAATTGCTGGCAGTTGGCAGTCAGCAGAATTAGCCTGCAGTATGGCATTCCAATTTCTAACCACTGCACCACCATAACTGAGGATATGTGGAGGGTCTTTTTTGCAGTCTATGAACAATAGGTATAAATATATGCTCTGAGACATGCTAGATCAGTGATGGCAAACCTTTTAGAGACCGAATGCCCAAACTGCAACCCAAAGCCCACTTATTTAGCACAAGGTGTCAGGTGGGCGTGGCCCACTGGGTGGGTGTGGTTGTGGTAGTCATGGCAGATTGGGTGGGTCTGGCCAAGGTGGGTGTGGTAAACTCAATGTTGCTCATGGGGAGGGGGGGTCTCTGGCAAGTGGGGCAGTAGGCAGGATGCTCGTCCTGCAGGGTGAGGCGAGGCAGGGTGGGGGTGCCATTGCCAAGGGGCAAGGCAAGGGCCGGGGCGGCTGCTGCCTGACACCATCGGCCACCACACACAGAGGCCAGCAAGCATATGGGGGCCTACAGTGTCCGTCAGCAGCCACAGTCTGCTGGCCCCTCAACTGGTACACTCTTAGGCTCCACAGCCTGCTGCCAGCAGTTCAAAGAAGCCGCCTCTGAGCTGGATGGCTGGCCAACAGCTAAGGAGGCGATGCAGTGGGTCATGCCCGGGAAAAGGAGAGCATGCAAGGCCAGGAGGGATGGGACAGGGGGGAAGGAAACCAGCCATGCTGGGATGCATCCGGCCACGTGGGACCTCGGCGAATTAGCAGGCAGCTGCTTGAAGAGGGACAGTTGCCATCTCCAGGGCATGGTGCATGTGCCCACAGAGAGGGCTCTGAGTGCCGCCTCTGGCACCTGTGCCATAGGTTCGCCACACTGGTGCTAGATGGTTCTCATAGTAAGTTGCACAACATATTCAAGTCATCACCAAGCCTATTTCATCTACAACTTCATTGAGCAACAGTATGCAACATGTGCTCTACAGATCAGAGAGAGATTTAGGAGCAATTATCTCAACCATCTGGCTTATCTCACCATTCTGGCATATGATTAGAAACTTAAATGGATTACTAGCATTAACTGAAAATCCATCCGCCATTCATGAATCCATCAGATTCCTTCTGGGAGAAGAAGTCATCTTAGCTATCACTCTCGCAGTACCAATTTTTAAAATGAACAATTCAAACTTGAATAAAAAAGTGCTTTTGAAGAGAGAGCTCCTAGCTTCATAAGAAGATGTTCTGTTGTTATTCCATCTTTCCTCTTTCACTTTTTTGGGGGGTAGGGAAGATCTATTAAAAAGTCAGAAGACACAGTGAATAAAACACATGAGGATACAAGGAAATTATAGTATCATCCAACCCTCTCCCTCATTTGTGAATGAGATAAAATGAGTGATTAATAAAAGTTTCATTTAAAGGAAATAATATTAGAATCCAGCAAGCAGTTTCTCATTTCTTATTTGGAATATTGACCTTTATTATAAGATGTTAGAATTAACTATATTTTTTTTCATGAGAAACAGATTTATTTTTGGTATCCTAACTATTGAAACTCATACAGAGATAACAGAATAACAAAATAACAGAATAACAGACTTGGAAAGGATCTTGGAGATCTTCTAATCCAACCCCCTGCTCAGGCAGGAAACCGTATACCAGTGATGGCGAACCTTTTAGAGACCGAATGCCCCAAAACTGCCTTGCCCCTGTCCCGACCCTGCCTCTCCTGCCCGCAGAGCCACCCACCACCTCCACAGCCCGCCACAGCAGATCACCCAGGTAGCCCAGCAGTGTCATGGCGGCCATGCCTCTGTTTATGCTCTGCAGCATCATCTGTACACGATAGGGCACGAGGGTGGAGTCTTGTCCTTGGCTGTGCTGCTTTGCGCAGGCTGCAGCCGGGGCGAGTCTCCTCTGGGGGGGCTGCTGGTGTGGAGGGGGCCATGGGGGTGGCGGGGCTGGGGCGATGGTGTGCATGCCCACAGAGAGGGCTCTGAGTGCTGCCTCTGGCACCCGTGCCATAGGTTCGCCATCACTGCCCTATACCATTTCAGACAAATGGTTGTCCAATCTTTTCTTAAAAACTTCCAGTGTTGGAACATTCACAGCTTCTGGAGAGAAGCCATTCCACTGGTTCTCACTGTTAAGGAAATTTCTCGTTAGTTCTAGGTTGCTTCTCTCCTTGATTAGTTTCCATGCATTGCTTCTTGTCCTGCCTTCAGGTGCTTTGGAGAATAGCTTGACTCCCTCTTCTTTATGGCAATGCTTTAGACACCTCTTTGGCTTTAGCCACTGCTCACATGAGTTCTGAGCTGCATAGGGAGGAGTTCAAGGTAGCCACACAAGTGTCTGTCACTATGCCCATATGTCATCATAGCTATGCAAGCTTCATTGGATGCAATTGTCTTCTGAGTGCAACTGAAGGTGCTGGTTTTTACCTATAAAACTCTTTGTGGCATAGGGCCTGGATAACTGAGGGGCTGCTTATCTCCAACAGTTTCTGCCCAGCTGGTATGTTCCAGCAGATAGTTGTGCTCTAGGTTCCCTTAATTGAACATTGTTATTTTGTAGGGAAGCAGGCCTTCTCTATCATGGCCCCAACCCCTGGAGAGAGAAGGACAACACCCTCCCTCTTAGCATTCGGAAACGCTCTTAAAACCTAGTATTGACTCCAGATCTGGGTTAATGTACTATTTTATTTGGAGATGGGACTGTTTGTTTGGTTTGTGTTCCATTTAAGAATGTTTTTGTCTCGGCTCCCTGTATCTATTTTAAGTTGTATCTATTTTAATGGGATTTTTCCTGGTTTTGCATACCACCAAGAGTCCATTGGAGTTGAAAGACTATTCCAAATAAATGAATAAATGAATGAATGAACATTATGCAACTTACTTTTCCTTCTTTCATTTTTCTGAGAAGACAGCATATGCATTGTTTATAATGCTAGTCAGAGAGGGTTAAAACTGGCAACCTTTTCTTCTTCTTTCCCTTCCTTTTCCATTCTCTTGGCTCCTCCACAGATAGCTATTTGGGTCCCGAACCCTTTTTAAATATGCAACACTATATCAAATATTGGAACAACTGAAGTTGGTCTATATTCCACATACCACAAAAAGTAGAAACTAGATTTAATGTGTCTTTTCCTGTTCCTGGTAAGCCACAAACAGTCAGTCTGGGAAAATCAGGTAATTTGACTAGTCCTGCTTTTTCTGGCACAAAATGATACTCTTTATTATAACACTAGCAGCTTCCTGACTTTCAAGAAAAGGGTTCTCTATCTAGAAAGATTTCAACTTCAAAACAGTATGGTACGTGCAGTGGGATCCCTAGAGAGGGTTTCTTTGACCAAGGAAGGAAAGTTGACATGCTTGATCAAATTGACTTAACTGCAGATGGATCTTGCATTAGTCTTCCCCTGGTCTATTAAGCCCCCACCAAGTGGCATGAAGCTCTGCTCCATGTCATCAAGCGCTTCAAATTTGTGGCACCAAATTGTGGTTTTGTACATAATGATTCATAATGATTCTGACATGTCCTTTCTCACTCTCCAAGCTGATCCATGTCCTGAAGAAAGTGAAGCTAGAATAGGCACAAGAAGATCTTGAGAAACGAAACAAAATCTTCATAAATCCATCCTAATGATCGATGCATTGGATTTTAATGTGCAATGTGAGCCTAAAAGTCTCGCTCAGTTCAGTGGAGCTTTCTCTTCAACCAGACTGCATTCCATGTTCTCCTGAAGGTGATTGTCTTCCAAGTCAGTGTGGCCACTATAATCGCTCATATTTTGGTGAGCATCATTTCCTAGGATGACTGGCCAATCCAGCCATATAAATATGTTTTTCAGGCAGGAAGTTGGCCGTGGAGTTATGATTGCTCCCACCTGTGGTCAATCTCTGTTGTGGCGGGGGGGGGGGAGATCCCAGGAGCTGTTGCTGGGGAAAGCCAAGCAGGCCAGCTTGAAACTCTCAAGGCTTTGAACACTCAAGCCGATGGGAGGAGGTTGGGCAAACAGTGTATTTGAGGGCTATGAGGAATGCTGCCTGGGATGGCCAGAAGCCTCTCTGGGCCCTTCTGGAACCAGGTAGCTGGGTTGCCTTGTTTGTCTTGGATAACCGAAATAAGTGTAACATCCATCCAAGGGTAGAAACTTTGTTAGTTTAGGCTGCTTCAAGAGCCTAAATCCTAAATTGTTCAATTGTTTTCCTGTGATTTTTCTCACTTACTCTCTCCTTCCCTTTTTATCTATGGTTGCAATGATTTATAGCGTGGCTGGAATAAAAGGGGACGTAAATGTTTTAGCATAGGATAGTTTTTCCCAACAGCAGGCATGTAAGCTTTTCTTTTTGTTTGCAATGCATCTGTGTGATTTCATCATCTTGTTTCCCATGCACAGGAGAATTGTTCCTGATCACATCATCTTAAAGATTTCAAATGTTCCAAGGTTGGCCACAAGGAGATGCAAACTGTAATACGGGGAGAGGGAGGGGACAGGCCCTTGGCACGCTCAGCCAGGTTCCTAACAAAATAAAGGCGGCTGGGTTTTGTTTTTCCTCTTCGTGTCAA